AGCTTCAGTCCAGGGACTCCCTTCCCCGGTCATCGTGTCCCCACCTCTGGCTGCAGAAGGACCCCAACTCAGTGCTCTTGCAGGAGCGCGTTCCCCACTCGAAGACTGCGCGGGATAACACACATACACCCCTGCTCGTGCCATGCAGCTTGGAACCTGCTAGTGCGGGAGCTGCACTTAAACGGCCGGAAGGAAATGGAACCCCACAGTGCTGGCCGAGGGAAGAAGGCAGACTAGGACTGCATCCGGCCTCCCAGCTGTGTGGCTTGAGGGCAGGTTTCTCAGCCTGTCAGAAAGGGGGAAGGGTTCTGCGCCCTGGGAAAATTTACAGAGCACTCATTACAAGGCACTCTGGGTCCAGAGCTACTTACGAGCTCTCTACCCAGCCCAAGAGTCTTATCCTGTGCTTCTGCAAAGTTGAAGGGGTGTGGTGGCTGGGTCTCCAGGGTGTGGGCAAGAGGTGAGCCTGCAACTGCCTGGAGGCTGAGCAGAAGTTTAAATGTTTACCTGACCCTAGCAGCCATCACCCTTGGTCCAGTACCATTCCACCCCAACCCCAAAGCCCAGGCAGCAGCTGATGGCCAACCACCAGGTGACCAGATGGTGCTGGGGGCTTCTGAACACTGCTTTTCTCATAAGCTAATAAGGGCTGGAAAGTCTCAGCTGGCTTCAAATCCCCTAAAGGCAGACAAGGGTGCACTTGGGAGGAGAGGCTAGAGCCAGAGCCAAGGGAAGCCTGCAGGCCTCTCTCCGTGCTTCTTCCTAGACCCCATCCTCAACTGCTCTCTGGGGTTCCTTCATCAGCCAGCCATCAACAATGGAAGTTCAGTACTATAAAGTCAGGAAACTAAGGCACCCAACATGCAAGATGAGAGCTCGAACAGCAGTTTTCTGCCATCTTCAGACCTCGATGTTTAGGCCAAGCCCTTTTCCTGCAGCATGAGTTCCCAGGGCTGCTGGCTGCCCCACCCCACCCCCGATCCCTGTCCTTCAAATATGAGGGAAACAGGATGCTGGGCCAGGCAGTCCTGCTTTCTTCAAGTCCAAGAAGAGCTTGCCAAGCCAGGTGGTTTCCCCCTCCAAGGTGAAACTGTGGGGAAGAAGGGGGACCCTTTGCCTGATCTCCCCCCTGAATTTGGAAAATGTGAGGCCTAGATTCCAAGCAGTCTCCCTGGTGACTAGGAGAGGAATGCATCTAGAAACAGGAAGCCAAGCCAGCAGGAATGCAGCGCCTCAGCACAAAGAGCCCACACACACCCCACTAAGTACACTCCCCAACAAATACTCCCCTCCCAGATAGGGCCCCACCCCCTGGGGCAAGGCTGGACCAGGTCTGAGCCGTCATAGCCCTCATGGGAACTGATGTGGTAGGCTGGATATCCTTCTGCACCTAATGTCCTGGCTGTGGCTCCTCAAACTCAGAACCCTGCCAGTCCTTCATTATCCAAAGGGTTGGGCATCCTGCATGACCTTCCACTGTCTGTGTCTCGTTTCTCTGCCACCTCCACCTGGAAAACCATGTCCCTTGGAGTGAATTGCAAGAAGCGTCACAGCTCAACCTCTTGTGGCAGCCTGAGGCAAGCCATCCATGGCCTTGGTCCTTCTGTCTCTGGTGAGGAAGCCCCAATTTCCGGAAGCTGACTTCCTGAAAACTCAGCACTGAGCTTGACACAAATGACAAGTGAAGCCAAGGCCCCAAAGACTAGCTCTGGTTTGGTTCCTTTCCTGATTCCCTGGCCTTCCCACATTCAAACAACAGGTGACAGTGATTACTTGTCTCTGAGCAGTGAGAACACAGCTCAGACATTTCAAGCATCCTTAATGCATCTAGAATGCTATAGAGCAGTGGTTCTCAACCTGTGGGTCACAACCCCTCCAAGGGTCAAATGATCTTTTCACAGGGGTCACATATCGGATATCCTTCCTATCAGATATTTTCCTTGTTATTCATAGCAGTAGGAAAATTAGTTATGAAGTAGTAACAAAATAATTTTATGTTTGGGGTCACTGCAACATGAGAAACTGTTAAAGGGTCACGTCATTAGGAAGGTTGAGAACCATTGACCTATTATTATCCAACTGTGTGACTTTGAACTCTGATGGCTCTCCCAGCTCTGTTTGAAGGGAGGCTCATTAGATGCTTGGGCCACTTCTAACAAATCTGTCATTTTTGAACTTATTCTCCAAAATGCAGACAGAAACATGGAGTAGAGTTGAGCCAGAGGGCTGTGCAGGTCAGAGAGAAGGGAACTCACCACTTAGGGTGAGGAAGAGAGAAGGGATAAACACCAGAGCCTGCCCTGGGCCTTCCTTCGCTCTCTGTGGCACATTTTGGTCCACACTGGTTTGTTGCAGGTGGGGATTTAACCATAGCAGTTATCAAACTCGCCCTTCCCAACCTCTTGTTGAGCAGTTTCCAAGTCTCACGGTGAAGTTAATACCAGACCCTCTTTATCTGGCATTCCCCAGCAGCCACTGCTCTAAGCTGAGCATTCTGCTGGCAGTCACCATCTCTCAACACATGTGGCCACAGCTTTGAATACACAGAGGCCTCTTGTGTGTTCCAAGACAGCCATAGCAGCCCCTGTACTTCATGATGCCAGCCCCATAGCTTCTGCTTCAACAGTATCTCCAGAAAAGTGAAAAGGTGTTTTAATTCTCTGCCTCCCCGCTGTGCCAAAGCCCAAATTCTTAGGAATTCCTCTTCTGTGAGCATTTCCTTGCTGTCGGATCGTTGAACACTAGATGGCGCCGAAGAGACTACCACCTTTCTAACCAGCGGTTGAGCCGGCAGACACAGTCAGCCTTGATCTTTTCTATAAAAATACAGACTCATCTTCAGGCAGCCATCCAGGCAAAAGGTGAGATGATTATATCAAGGTATAAATTATATCCACCGGTGTCTAAGAAGGCAACACAGCCTCTGCCAAGATTCCTTTCCCAAAGAGCCAGATAGCAGAGACGGCCGTCAAGACCCCACCCTCCACAGCCAGCTTTGATCCCCTTTGGAAAAAAAAAAAAAAGGGGTTTAAAAAAAAAAAAAAGAAAGGGTTTAGATGTCTCCCCTCTCCTGCCTGACAGTGGGCATGGCTGGAACACACAATACCTGAAGATGATCTGAAATGTCTCTGAGATTGATATTAAGGGTGGCTGATAAATGAGACCAAAAATTAAGGGGTTTGGAGGGAACCACTGCTCCCCACCTCCTCTCTGCTCAAATGCACCCACCACACATCTGTTGTACTGTCTTCAAGTCAATGAAGCCAGCAGAAGAGGTACAGGTATGAGCAGATCAGCCTTTCCCAAAGGCCCAGCTCTTGGTGGGTGGTAGGTAAGTACCTTGGGGTGAATACTCTGTTGGATTGTCTCAAGCCACAGCCCTTCCTGAGCAGGGCCACCCTAGAGCCCTGGTCCAAGGTTATCCTTCACTGATGGATCACTGTCCCAAATGGAGCCAGCAGCCTAAGGGATCAAGCTCCTCCACCCCCCACACACCACCCCTGGCACTGGTAGGTAGTCAGGGTGGTGGCATCTACAGTCTACACTGAGTGAAGCTCAAGTCCCAGCCCAGCTCTGCCCACAGCTGAGTTTGTGGACTGTTTGACTGTCTTCTGTGTCTTCTCCCCTTCCCTCTAAGCATGATTAACTATCTTTAAAAAAAAATAAAATAAATAGTTAAGCTGGGCGGTGGTGGCTCATGCCTTTGCACTTGGGAAGCAGAGGCAGGGGGGTCTCTGTGAGTTCGAGACCAGCCTGGTCTACAAGAGCTAGTTCCAGGACAGCCTCCATAAGCCACAGAGAAACCCTGTATTGAAAAACTTAAAAAAAAAAAAGTTAAGGAAGCATACACCCCCCAACTTAAGGAAGTAAGTCACTGAATGTGGTGGGGCACACACTGTAGGCCATCCAAGTCCAGTGCTGCTGGAAGACAGAACTGTAGATGTGAGGTGCCTGGGATACGGTCTCAAAAGTACAAAAAAAGAAAAAGAAGAAGCAGTCTCTGCAATGGGGTGCATAGTAGATGGGACTGAAGGAATGGGAAATAGGAAGGTACCCACAAATAAGGACTTTCTCCCCAGAATAGGGAAAGAAGGGAAAAAAGGACACTACTTCATTTTATCCACATGTATATAGAGTTCATGTGTCAAAAACTTTACACTGTGTGAGTATTATTAACCTCAGACACACCTTGCCCTTCTAGATACTTCTATCTGTGCCCAACCCTAAGTGGGCAAACAGAGTGGCCACTTCAGACTGCAGTGCAGTACCTGGCCTGCAGGACAAAGGCCAGAGAGAGTGGAACTGTCCCCAGCACTTGCAGTCTGAGACTAGTCCCAACCCTTGGCTTCACCCAGCGAGGACAAAGGGGCCTTCCCAACCTTAGTTGGTATAAGAGCCATCACCTGCCATCACCTCCTTTCCTGTCTGCTCTCAGTCTGGTCATGTCTGCAGAGGCTGAGAGCAAAGACAGGCTGAGCACCTAGAGGCTCAGGCCCGAGAACTGAGAGTGCCAGGCATTGAGTAGCGCTGGCGGGCATGCTTCTCACAGTACAACTCATTGCCCACCCAGAAGTGACCACGCATCTTCAGGTTCAGCCCACAGTCTGCACAGGTGTAGCAGCCAGGGTGTCGGTACCTCCCCTCCTGGATGCGGACAGCCTGGTTCCTGCAGAAAGGGAAAGCCATTAGATTCAGAACAGAGGCAGGAGAGTTAGGAGGGCCTGGCATGAGGCCACCATTCCCAGGAAACCTGTTCCCCAGCCAGTCAGAACCTCAGACATAAATACCTCAGGCACCTGACTCCCAAGCCTCTCTCAGGTATTTCACTTTACCCCTAATCAAGGGCCCAACTGATGGCTCATCGGGTGAAAACACTTGCCACAGAAGCCTGGCAACCTGAGTATTCACCCCATAACCGACAGTGGAAAGACAGAACCAACTCCCAAAAGCTGTCTTCTGACCTTGACGTGTATGCCGTGGTTACTTCCACATGATACATACATACATTAATAATTTTTTACTAAAAACAACGTGAGCTAGACTTGCTAGTGCATGCCTATGGCCACGGTATTAGGTAGGCAAAAGTATATAGTTTGAGGCAGACCCGGTCTCTCTCACTAACAAACCCCCACATGTCCCCTAGGCAGTGGCTGTCAGAGACTGACCCTGAATGCAGAACTCATAGCGTCAGCATTACGAGGCAGTGAGATCACAACGGATACCCTGGGGCTGTTTGTGTGCTCTGTGCTTTATAAGCCCTCCAGGAACAGGGATTCAGGCTCCCCAGAGAGCTTCCTACCTACTTCCCTCAGAATACAGGACACTATCCTGTCCTGCAAATGAGAAAGCTGCAGCCAGCAAAGGTCAAGGAATTGCCCAAAGTAAGTCACCTAAGTGTTGGCATTTATAGGGGGAGGGGTACCAGCATTTTTTTTTTTTAACCAGAGGGAAGAGCTACATTATAATGCCACCCACTGAGAAATGAACCCAGGGCAGGGAAGGGAGAGCTTTTCCAAGATGCAAGACAAGCCACATCCGGGAGCAGATCTCCAGAGGCTTGGGGAATATGTAGGAAAAACCAAAAGTGGTAACATTTTTCATCGCTCTGGGGAGAGGGGAGAAAGTGAGGGTGGGCAGGAAGCAACCAGGCATGCATTCCGAACATGAAGCCACTTGGCCATGCTTGCCTCTATGGTGCCTGACTAACAGCCCAGCTTTGTCTGAAAGCCCCATGCTCCCCAAGGCATGCTCACCACCCAGCCCTCCAAAACTCACGAGATGTTGGCACTGCACTTCTCACAGGTATGGAGCTTGGGTGGAGTGGCCAAGGCCTTGGAGGTGGGCAAGGAGGCCTGGGAACTCAGCGAGCTGGGCACAAAGGCAGGTGTGCCACCTGGGAGGTGCAGGAGACAGACAGACGCATGAGAGCTGCTTGTTCACCCGCAGAGGTATCCAGCTGTATTTAGTGGCATTTTATGACACTCCTCAGATCCTCCCCAGGACACTCCCACACTTGTTGCAAAAGGCACACTTTCACACGGCCCTCTAAAATACCAGTGGGTATGCAAGGAAGGTAAAGAAGGAAGGTTACCAGGGAAGACCCTTGGCAAAGGCTGATGATGGAGGGTATGAACCCTGTCCTTCCAAAGCAACCTAGAAACATCTGTGCCTAGTTGGACATAAACAGGTAGGTGTTCTCTTTCTGTGAGCCAGTCATGATGATATAAACAGTCCTAGGTCATAACAACATCACAGTGTCTTTGTATAGCCCTTTCAAAGGGCTTTTATTAAATGTGTCATTGCATCTGAGCCAGCGTAAACACCAAGATGAAGCACAGAGGCACTGGGCAGCTGCTGCCCAAGCTTCAGCTGAGAGTCTGAGGCACCCATGAAGTGACCTTCTGTTTGTATTCTTCCCCCATCACCACCACCACCACCCACCATGACTACCAATCTCCTTGTGGCCTCTCCCTTGGTCTGGAGTGACCTCAGAGTCAGGATGGATAGGATCTGTCCAAAACTTTCTTACTTAGCTCCCTATGTTCCAGCAAACAGCTGTGTGAGCACTACACAGAGAGAACAAGCTACCAGGAACTGGCCATTCTGTAGCTCTAAGCCCTACCCTGCCAGACTCATCCTCTCTGTCCTCCCTGTGCTCCTGTCTGGTGCCCCATTCCTGGTTTCCTGGAGGATAGCATGCATCCCACTTCTGTATCCACTCCTGTGGGAATTTCCCAGGACCATATCCCCAATAATTGGAGCTCCTCAGGGGTTGAAGTCAGGTTATGCCTCAACACATCTGCTCCACAGGATAAACACATCAGTGTATTTCCAATGAGCAAATGGGCAGCTGGCAGGAGCCTGCATTGTGCTGCTCACAATGCTGTCTTGCCTGGCATGATAGCTTAATGGCAGAGTGTTCTTTGTTCTGGCTCCCAAGGCCCTTGCCTCAGCAACTTGCTCTCCTTGGTACCCTCCCATGCTGTCAGACCAACCCATTTTCTCTTAACCCAAAGCTCTCTGGTTGCTGACCTCCACATTCCATAGTGCTCCCAGCCAGGCCACTGTCTTAAGGCTGTTGGAGTCTTGGATCTTGTTTCAAGGCCAAATCAAATCCCTCTTCTTCCAAAAGTTGTCCCTGGAGACCCAGCCTAGAGTCCCTCCTTTATCACTCCCTTGTTGTCCTGGCTCTGGCTGGTACCACCCAGCACCTTCTAGGGGTACCTTGTACTCCCAACCAGAAAATAAACTTCTTTAAAGCAAAGCGGGCCTGACATCTGCTCCCTTAATCCCTAGTTCTGCTATGGGATCTTAAACTACTTCCTTAGTCTGTTTGGCCTCGCTCCAGGGAGTCCAAGGGCCCTTACTTCATCCCAGAGCATAGAGGCCTCACCTCTTTCCTCAGCCTCCAGGGCTTCCTGCAAGAGCCGAAAGGAGCTGGACTGCCTCGGGGCGGCTCGTCCCTGACGGTTCTCCTGCAGCATCTTGAACACCTCTGAGTCTTCTTCCAGGTCCAAGCCGCTGTGGAAGAGACAGCTAGGAATGAGGACCCTATGCCAGAGTGTTGGGACACACCCCAGTGCAGAGGCGTGTGGAAGGATGAAGGGGCGGAGGCTCCCATCCCTGCCAAGGAAACCAGTGCCCTCCAGGAGCTCATCCAACTCTGTAAGACCTGGGTACCTGAACCTGGGGCTGGAGGACCGAGGTCCTGGGGAATGTAGCGGCACCCTCACTGTGAAGTTGCTTGTGCTGCTGTGGCTGGCCTGTGGGAGGAGAGCAGAGGGGAGGAGTCAGGCCCAGCCCACAGTGGCCAGCGCGTCCTATGCATTTCCAGATGCTGCTCCCAAGATCAACGCGAGGGGGCGCTTGGCCTCCAAAGACCCACTGGTGTCAGATACCCGGTCCCTGCCTTCAGAGCCAGGCACCAGGAAGGATGGGATCCCATAAGGGGAGAGAATCCACCGCCTAGATGCAGAGATGCTTCAGTTACACATGGGGATGCCACGAGGAATAGAATCAGGTGGGAGACTCCACATAGAGACCCTTTAGATACGTTTCTCACGCTTAGATCATGCTACCTGTGCACAGAGATGTGGCCAACCTCCTATTCCATAGAAGAAACAGAAAAGAAGCAAGCAAGCCTGGAAGCCAATCATTTTGCAATAAGGCCGTGAAAATATAAATGTATAAAGGGTTAAGCCCTCCTGGAGCCAGGATGGAGCTGGGCAGGGTCTCGGTGCCCTTCAGGTGGCTCTCCTAACAGGGTCAGGCTCTAAGCTACCTGCTGCCCCTTCTGCTACAGTTTAGGTCTGGGCCTGCCCTAGTCCTACCACCACCTCCAAGCATTATGAGAAAGCTACACTCTACAAATAATTTCGATTCATGCATTTGCTCTGGGACACTGAAACCCAGACTTCTACTTCACTGTCCTTTCTGAAAGCCTGTTTCCATCCTGCACCATGTGATCCCCCAATGGGATCTGGAGGAGTCTGAGAGGGGAGCATTAGTAGCTAGTCAGGCTGGGGAACCTGGGCTGGGTTAGAGATCCTGAAGTGTTCTTCCAGCTGAAATATACCCCCAGCCTTTTGGGGGTTCCTTCACTACCATGCTCTAAGGTACAGGGCTGGCCCAAGCTTCCTGTGGGTCTGAGGCAAGACTCCATACCCGGGCTCCTAGATGGTTTTCCAGGGCTAAAGAAGGTCTTTGATTACTTTCTCAGGGCCTCAAGAGCAATGCTGTATCTCCAAGCAGGCCAGCATATGCCCTGCATTGGATAACCACCTAGAAGAAAGGGGTAGGATTGAATCCCTCCTGCCTAGGTTTCTTCTGAGGCCAAGTTCTCATTCCCAGCAAGAGGAGAAGTGTGTTTTTCACCTGGTGAACCTGCAGCTTCCAGAACGACACCTGAGAGGCTAGAGGTATCCTACATCCCAGCTCTTGAGCCTCGGCCAGCCAAGAGCCCATAACAAAAATCAGAGTATCTCTGATCCCTCCAGCCCACAGATCTTTCTGGGCAGCCAATGGTATCACCTGCCTTTGCCTTTCCTGTCTCTCCCTGACAAATGAGAACCCTGCTTTCACAGAAGGAATGTTTCCTCTCCAAATCCAACAAGCTACTTCCTTCCTCGTCTTACCTTCATGGGTATGCCTGTAGTAAACCCCTCCAGATGTGCTATGAGGCACAGCGATGTTCACGGTGAGTACCAGAGGTGGGCCAGAGAACCAGGAGAAATTCTGTAGGAACCTAATCACACCAAATGTGCTTCTATCGTATGGAGCCGCTAAGAAACTAAAGTGCAGTGTGACTCAAGCGGGAAGTGTGGACCCCATGACTCCTGCATCTATCAGCATAGCCTGGGGGGCTAGGAGTTCTGGGTTTTTCCCATGAATGCATCCCTAAGGGCCCCCGAGGGTGCTTGACAAGAAGCAGCTGGCTGAGAGGGAAGGATGAAAGTTCCTCAGGGTCAATCTAGCCTGACTCTGAGAACCAGAGAGGAAGAGGGCCCTGCTCTGAGTAACACAGCAGCAATGGGACCAGCCAGAGCCTACCTACCACCTGACCCAGCTCCTTGTTTCAGCATACAAGCTTGTCAAAACACTCGGTCCTGTTCTGAACCCCCATTCCCTCTCTGCAGCAGGTCCAGACTGGGGCCTGGGAGTCTGCATTTTCCCATAGGAATTCTCAGAGGCTGCTGCTGGCTTGAGAATCACCTCCCAGACCACCAGCTCACATCACTGTTTTGCCTAGGTGGGACCCTACAGGAAGACTTGCCCTTGAGCATCCATGGTCTGCTGGGCCCACAGCCCCTAGGAAATTCTATGGCCAGAAGGCAGGCTTCCACTAGTCCTAGTCCAAGGTCCTTTCCAGCTTGGCTCAAAACCTGTCAGGCCTTGCTGGGACCCATCTTCCCTGCTCCTAGGATTTCAGGTCACTGTATATCACTCTCTAATCAAAACCCTACCCCCAGTCTCCCTCCACTGTCCAGCGAAATTCCTAGCGGATCCTTCCCAGGCCACCCAACCTACTTTTCTCTCTTCCCTTCCAGAATGCCTCCTGCTTTTGTAATTAATCCCACACTGTTTCATACTTAATTGTTTCAAAATTGTTCGGCATGTTTGTCTTATCTCAACAGCCACATCTTAAATTCTTTAAAGATGGCTCCGTGGCCACAGCATCCACCCAGCTGGCCCTGGGGTAGGCATGCAGCCTATCACCACAAACCCTGCCCCCCTTCATTCTCCAGACTCCCCTACACACTTCCTTGTCATCTCCCTGCTACCACCCCCAAAGACCCTGCTCTTTGGAATGCAGAACCTTCCACCCCCAAAAGCCTTGCTCTTTGGAATGCAGAACCAACCCAGAAGTAAGATTCCAGCAGCTGGGCCTTGTCCCCTGCACCTAAAAGGCAGGACATGCCCCCAGCCACTCTGTCCCCAGCAGCTGAGAGCCAGGACTGTTGTCCTTCTCACTATTTCATTGCCTTGCCCCTGCTCTTGGGGAGGAGAAATACCACCTGGGGGATAAACTGCCTACAGTGGTCACAGGGATGTTGGGGACGTGGTGGGGTGGGTGAGGGTTCTTGCAGAAGAAAGAGCAGACAGAAAAATGGCCAAGGGTAGCATGGTGAGACAGAAACAGTCCCTCAGAAGCTCTCTGTGCTGAGTGGAAGGAGCTCAAGCACTGGGGGTGGTTGTTGGGGGCTTGTGACAGAGAGGAATGTCTTTTGGAGATGCAGCCAGCCCGGAGAGGGACTCATCCCAACAACAGCAGCAAAACTATTTCAGCCACAGCCCAAGAGAAACACACCGAGAAGGGAGAAAGCCAGATGGATGGAGGGGCCGGAGCGACAGGAGGGAGGAATGCATAGTGGCCCCAGTGCTAGCTAGCCCCTCTGGCTCAGGAGTGTAATGTACCTGTCACAGGGGAATGCTCCCACAGGCTGTTCAGGTATTGCCAGCTGCTTTTAGTGCCAGAGGCACCAATGGCAGCCAGTAACAAGGGCGCCATCTCCTTCCCTCAAGAAGCCTCACCTGTTGGCTGGTGGGGTGGCCCGGGTAGGACAAGTGGTGAGTAGCAGCAGGGCCTGGTGAATGTGTCAAACTCTGGAAACTGAAATTGGGGGGAGGGGTGATGTGGGTGCAGAACCCACACAGTCTGCCCCAGGGAGGAAGGCAGGTGTGTTCAGGGTTCCCTACACATAAGAACTGAGACTCTGAGGGCCCAGGCCCAGACTTGGTGGCCCATTTGGCCACCGAACCCAACCACTGAGCTCACCTACAGCCAATTACATCCTCTCCAGAAACAGCAAGTGGACTGGTGGGGGGTGGTGTGGAGAAAGGGCTGCCTGGCCTGGGACTAAGGGAGGCCTGGCTGAAATAGGCAGGTCGCTTCGAGAACTGGCTGTCATGGTGTGTCCTCAGGGAGCCCTGTGGAGAAAGGGGCCAAGAGAAAGAGTTGGCATGACCCTGCTGGCTGTACCCCTCAGGGTACTTCGGGGTACTGGTAGCTCAGGGCTGGATGGACCAGCTTACCTGGAACCTAGCTGCCAGCACTTCCAATGAGCCATCCCCATTGGTCTGGCCAGGAGAGGCAGGTTGTGACCTGAGGGACAAGGAGAGAGACTGTCACAGAGTCCTAGACATCCCCATCCTGAACACTGTTCCCAGGCCTGGTTCTCAATACCAGCCAAGTATCCAGGACACTTGACATTAACTTTGTTGAGTTCAAAACAAATGACTCCCACCAACCACCACCATCATCCTCTCAGGTCCAGCACCATAACAGAAAGGACAGTCTCAGCACAATGCTTAAGAAACTCAGCTTATCAGACGTTCCTCCTGTGACCCACACCCGATTTTCTTCCTTTTCATCTAGTCGCCAGTCATCTGCTTGAGATCAATTTTGAGGAAGATGGCTAATTCCATATAAAAAACCCTTTGTCTTCTAAACTGTGGAGAAACCGAAGCCATAGAAAGAAAGTGTGTTGTCCCAAGTCCCAAAGCCCATTGTTGGCTGTACCAGACACCTACTTTCCCCCACTGATAGGTTTGTCCCTACCAGCTGCTCTAGTAATGGCCAGAAGTCTTTGGGAAGGTCACTCAAAATCCCTTTCCCAGACTCCTCCCCCAGCAAATCAAGGGGTGGGATCAGGCTTTCCTTCCTTTCCAGGCAGGCATCTGGAAGACTTGGAGACTGAGGCTACAAAAAGGCTCAGCATCCAACCTTCAGCCAACAGCAGCTAGCCAGAGAGGCTCCTCTGACCCAAGTGGCACTGGCAGGAGCCTAGAGTGGGAGGTTATTGGAGACCAGAGGTGAAGGTGAGAGAGAGGATCCCTTCATCATTACTATGTTCCTGGGGCTCTGATCACTTCTAGCAAGGTTGGCTAGCAGAAGCCTTTGTCTCCCAGGATCAGGTATACTGGTACAAGGTCAGGTTGAGGGAGTGCCTGCCTCAGAACTTCTGATTGCCTCCTGGAGAGGTGGGAGGAAGATTGAGGAGGGGTCTTGGCCAAAGAATGAAGACACTCCGAGCCTTGGCTTGCCTGATGTTGAGCTATCCAGCCCACATCTCCAATGGCCAGACTCCTCCAAGGACCTAACAGCAAGCAATGGTGTCAGCTGATCTTCCCCTGATTGCAGCCTCCTGTGGATTTTGGTCCCATTCCCAGATGCCATGAAGTCCTCTCCACCCTCCTCCTCTAGGTCTCTCTCCTGCAAACACTCAGGGACAGAATGGCATAAAGAGGGATAGTATCATGGGAGCCTGCCTCTTCAATATAGCCTACCAGCAGGGCCCATGGGTGAGGAGCAGTGCAGAGGCCAACGGAAGGCTGGGCAGTGGGGCAGAGGCAGAGAGAGAAGCAGAAGACATCCAACTCCTTTCCTGACCTGCCCAGAGAGCCTTTGGTCCAAGGAATCTCCCATCATTCCTGAACTATGACTCACTGTAATGTTCCTCCCTGAGTAGCCACCTGTCCCCGCCACACACACACACACACACACACACACACACACACACACACATTCAGTACTCCTCATGCTCAATGGCAAAGCCCAAATCAGTGATGGGAAGCTCTGTGAGTCTCCAGTTCCCATCTCTACCTGATTCTACAATTTTTAAAAAAAAAAAAAAAAAAAAAAAAAAAAAAAAAAAAAAGCCATCTCTCAGAGACAAGGGCACTGAGACTCAACCTAGGGTACACCTTGCCCTGAAGTTTTCTCTCTTCAACCACTTCATGCCCACACCCTGTACCATTCACACTCCTGGGAACCAGTCAAACCCGGGCTTCCAGGTAGCTGGTGCCAGCTTGCCCCACCTCGCCTGTGGCTGCATGCCCAGCCTGGCGCCCACCTTTACCAGATAATCACTGGGACACCTTCCTTTTCCCTACCACAGGTCCAGAGCTGAGGACTTCCAGTATGCCAAAAGAGCCTTGGAAGGCTGGGATGGGGCTGCAGGCTGGGTTGAGGGCAGTTGCCTGGCTAGCAATGGACAAGTGGAGGAGGGAGGAAGGTGGCAGGACCAGCCAGTGGAGGTGGAAGGCCTACCGGTCCAGCTGCAGTCGTAGGGGTGAGGCGCTCTGTCGGATCTTGCTCTGAGCCTCAGCATGTAGCATGCTCTCTGCTCTCTCTCCATTGATGGCCACAATGATGTCGCCAGGCCGGAGATCAGCTGCCTCGGCCTTGCCCCGCTCTGTTACCTATAGGGATGAGGAGCCAGATGCTGGCTGATGAGTCTTTGGTACCCAGTACCCACCCTGGATAGGGATACACTTGAGAAGGCTGGAGGACAAGGGACCTCCTTCTGCTGCCCCCAAAATGCAAAAGCAGAACTATACTTCTACCACCTTTTTCTCTGCCTTTCCTAGCTGCCAGCTTGCCAGCTAATCCCTCACAGGCTTGAGTGGCACCCCTACCCTCCAACACATACACGGGGCGCGGCGCTCTCTCTCTCTCTCTCTCTCTCTCTCTCTCTCTCTCACACACACACACACACACACACACACACACACACACACACACACACACACGTATCCAAACACAGGCTTCCCAAGGAATGTGATGGCAGAATGTCAGGAACTGGGCTTAGGAATACTTCTGGACAGAGAACCCTGCCCGTGCAAATCACACCTTGCAGGTGGCTGGCTAAATACTACCCTGGCTATGAATGCTCTCCAGCCAGGACCTTGGCCTGAGCCTGGGTGGAAAAGAAACTACCAACCTACTAAGAACTTGCATAGGTGCTCATCCTATATAACCACCCCAACTGGCTGCCAACAGGTGTGAGTTTCAAGACTGCAGGGCAAAGGGCAGGCCCTTTCCTTGCTCTTCTTTCTTTACTTCCTAATGGCCTTCCTGAAGGAAACCTCATATACCCATGGCAACAGGACACAACTATCCCCCTAGCCAACGTTGCCCAGAGCAAGCCCCAGGCTCTAGAACAAATTGAGGGGAGTACCTACGGGGAACAAGACACCCCTCATTTTCAGGGGATAGCTAGCTCCTTATCAAAAAAAAAAACCAGCCCGTACCTTGGTCACGATGATGGGTGTGTGGAAATCTCTGCCTCCGCTAATGCGGAAGCCCCAAGGTGCCGGTCCCACCACATCCACAGTCAGCGGCATGCCTAAAGAAGAGAAGAGCAGAGCGGGAGGTGGGACCCACTTCCACAGCACACCCCAAAGAAAAGGGAGAAGACGGCTGACAGGTCTCAGAGCTACCCAGCAGAGCCTGAGCCTGGGTGGTGGTAGTGGTGGCAGAGGAAGTGACTAAGTCCCTCCCTCTCCGGGGAGAGTTTCACTTCCCCCCACCCTGGGAGGCCTTGATTCTGAGTTATCCCTTCTAGGGTCTTCAGACCTAGCAGATCCCCAAGCGAGGCAGCAGTCCCTGGCACAGTGCCAGGCTTCCACATAAGTGCTTGGTGGAGAATGGTGGGAAGGAATTAGCAGGTGGTAGGAGTTATCTGTACCCCAACCCCCTTCACTACCTCAAGGGCTTGTTTCCTGTCCCCAAAACTAAGAGCTACTTCCTGCACGCTCTGTGTAAAGCAGAGCTTTCCACACAGGAGGACAGCAAGCCTTGGGGTGGCCCCTCCAGACTGACTGCAAGAAGTTAGCCAGACCTGGAGCTGGCAGGTATCAGACCAAGGACTTCAGAGGGGCAATTTGGCTGCCTGCCCAGCCCTGACAAGTGGGTTCCGATGAGCAAGAGGAAGCTTGCTACCTCCTCTAGGGGCCTGCTGCCCTCTGAACAGCCTAAGCTAGGAGGCCAGAGCTCATCTGCCAAGGGAGGCACACCCACACCAACCCTGGTGCTGGCCAGCAGGGCAAGTTCATGATGCTGCCAGTTTGGCCACAAGCTTCCCATCCACAGCCCCCTCTGCCCCACAAGGGAGTGTCCTTGTGGACCAGGCCCTCCTAGGATTTCCTGAACCTCTAGGTCGGGAGCCAGGAGCAAACCCAGGCAGGAAGCTGCAATGCCAGGCTGGGCACCACCCAGCCCAGCACCCATCCTGAGGCTGTCCCTGGGGAGATAGGGAGTCAGCAAGTACTGTCCAGTATCTCAAGAACATCAAGGCCTAGGGAAGGGGGTTATCCAAACCAGCAGCAGTTCCACTGTCTTGTCCCCAGGCAACTGGCTTTCCCTTTCACCCAGGCCCAGCCACCGTGCCTCAGGCTCATCGCTGAAGTCGGCAATCGCGCAGAGATTCTCAGACCTTTGAGCCGGCCAGTGGACCCAGGGCTGAGAGTGCTGCGGGAATTGCCTAGCGCGTCAGCACAGTTCGCAAGCCTTCTTCCCACCAAGGCCAAAGCACCCCGGAGGCCCAGGACTGGAGGACAAGAGTCCAGGTCAAAGGCGAATCCAAGCCACCCGGTACTCAGAGAGGCTTCAAGGAAGAGGGCTTTGGGGGCGAGGGTAGGGTCCGCAGAGCCGGAGATCCCCGAGGGCGGTGGCCCGCGGAGGGTGCAGGTGGGCGCGCGCGCGCCCGGC